GTGGGCTTGGCAGGGATCGAATATCCCGATTCCACCATCGAGCCCAGCAGTCAGCAAAGTTCGAGTCGTACGATGCCAACCCTTATTGCAGTTTCCCTTATTTTGCCCCTTCACTCCTTTACCCTCTAAGACTCGAGATAGTATTTCCAACCCCTTGAAGACTCTCGTGGCAAAGCGTGCCTGGTGCAAGACCAAAGTCGTTTATCCGTCCTGGCGCCATTGAGCGTGTTCCGTTCGGTTATGATCTACGAGGCATCTCGTCCACAAACTACAGGACTGATGTGCGAATGCGGTTACAGTGCAAACGTTATAAATCACGTTGATATGAGGCTCGAGCTAGGCCATTTGAAACAGGTCGAACGTCACGACAAGCATTTGCAGTTTCTCTCCCGTTTCTCGAGAGCAGTGACGCCACATGGCACCTCGATTTAAATAATTTCAGGGACCACCGACGTGATGTTATGACTCTTGCTCTCTCTTGCTCTCTCTTACTCTTTTCTTTACCCTCCTCTCTCTTTCTCCAGCAGAGCGTAGCAATATCGCGTCCGGGAGTCGAGCAATTTGCGAAAGTATATATCGCCCGTAGAGCGGAACGGTGGACTTCTATTACCCCTTCGCGTACGAGAAAAAGGGTGCGCGCGCAACCCTTGCGAAACTTTCCCACTTTGCAAGGGATTCCCTGTATTATGGGAAACGGCCGAAAAGTGAATATCTCGCTTTTTCGGTAATGCGTAATAAAGAGAGGTCACAAGTGAGAATGTCACAGGAGGGGGTAGAGATCGAAACGTGAAACTTCAAGGATCGCTATGCTGGAGTATAGGTGCACACAATGCCGAAGTCCCAAAGTGTACTCTCAGGACGACTCAAGTACTACAAACAGCACTATTACTATGGCCACTTCGGGTTTCTGAGTTTCAAGGCTCTTTAAAGTTTTTTCAAAGTAGCACCCATCTCATCCGCTCCTATCTTCATCCCTTGCTGTGACTCTTATAACCCAATACTCAAATCCCTAACCGCACGAGATCTGAGGGAAGAGAATTTTTCTTACTTTTTGCAATTTCTTTTCCAAGTCTCCCTATCTCTCGACAAGAAATTAGGTATTTCGGATCTGATTAGTATTACAGTGAAATAGAATGAAATTTTTCGTGAATTTCTAAGATTTCAAGTATTTGGTAACTCCTTGTGGAGTTCGCTGTGCGGCAACATTGACGAATAGGGAAAATGAAAAGTACGACCAGGAAGGAGGTTTGAGGAACAGTGAGACTGATGAAAAAAAGAAAAATAGAAGCTGGAGGGGTGGTATAAAAGAAACAAAAAAAAAACTGTGAAAATGAAAAGTTCAAGTAAATCCGAATTCCTCGAAGTCTGACGCAGTACTGAAGACAAAAATAAAACCGAATATTTCTAAAGTGAGAGGAAGCAGCATATTTTCGCGCAAATACGTAGAAAAGCGTAAAAGCTTTTTAAATTCCCGACTGGCGGAACTCGAACTTAACGGAATGGAAAGCAGAGCGATGCTCCAGGTAGATATAACCAGTAATGAAAAATTACCAGCGCTTACGTTTCAGGTCTCCGGTCGAAAGGGGAAAGGAAAAACGAAAAGGAAGGGCCATCCTTTTCGATTAACACTAAATTGCACAAGATTTATTTAAATCGGAATACTCCGCGTGATTTCAGACTTCATAAACCATTAGCTTCTAATATCGAGGCCAGGTGTTGCGAGACGTGCCAGCCTTTTCAGCAATGAAAATTCAAATAAACCTTTTTCTTTACTGTCCAATTGTCCCTCCGTCAGCTAATTTCGAACATTTTCTTAAAAATCATATATATTTACTACAGCGATATATGTAATATAATATTTACTACAACGATACTTGAAATGATTATGAACCCGGAAGCAATAAACCTCCATAAGTATAAGACATAACAGTCTACTCCAGAAAAGGCAATAAACCAAACCTACGAATTTTTCATATCCAACAACAAAATTAATACGACATTCCGAAACACATGTTACCGTTACAAAATAACAAGACGATCCTCCTCGCATGAGTGAGTGGTCCATATCGTTTCAAGTTGAAAAAAATAATCGCTTGTTAATTGCATAACGAGATATTATGTGCATCGAG